CAAATTTGAGGTTTGAATGAAGTGCTTTTCTTCAGGTTTTCCATCTTCTTTCGAATATCTTCGATATCTTTTTGATATACACTGATTTCTGGTGGGTATTTTTCCAAGTGTTCACGTATTCCATACGAAGGTTTCAGATCTTGTAAGTTTAATCGGTACTCTGCGTTGCATACAGTACATCTTAACAACCCAGTAGGCCTTTGGAGGATCTTTAAGCATGTTTTTGGAGGCCCGCAATAAGAATGGCCACAAAGAAATGCTCTAGGATTAGTTTTAATGTCTGTGCAAATGGCACAAACTAAAACTTCGTTGCTCGTTTGGTTTTTTGAGCTATTTGCACAGGCCATTTGTTTCACTGAAACATTCAAATCTTAAAGCAGCAGGTTACTTTCACTAGCCCTATTTGATACGCAGGATTTTTTCAGCAGCAAAATATTACAGCATAATGGTTATTGCTGCATTCTCAAACATTTTAGAAAAAAAACATTTTTTGTTGAAAGCATTGGGCGATGGGTGATGGCATTTGTTATGTTAATTTTGCTGGATAAGTTTCACTTTTTGGTAAAAAGTACTAATTTAAACAGATACTTGCCACAAACAATTTTTTGTTGTGACATAAACTGTGGCTCAAAAATTTGGCCCGTGATACACTTTTGCTCAATCTAAGTTGAACTTTTAATGAATAAAAACTATGCGTTAAGTCTAACTTGATAGAATATTTTGGAATTGTTGGAGTTAAACCTCAGCCACAGCTGTTTTGTGTCCACAAAAAGGAAATACAGATTATGAATTTAAACAGACTATTTTCATAAACGATTTTTCAAACATTTTTTATACATACACAATTATTTTTAAATAGTTTTTCATTTCTTGACAATTTCCACAGCTTTTTCTGTGTGTCAAAATTGATCTAAAACTCAAATGTTTTCAGTGCCACGCTCCCATCGCATCTCCTGAAAGCAAAAATGACGAAAAAAAAAATTGTGCACCATACGCTGTTGAAATAATTTGTTTTAGAAATGGAAATACAGGTGTGAGCATGTTGAGTTCAGGCATGATCATGTATACTGCAGGTGTGAGCATATCTTCAGTTAGCACACCTGATGCAGGTGTGATGCAGGTATATGCATGGCGAAAATAGACATGCTGCACATTTGTTACAGACATGAATTTTGTATGATTTTACGATGATCAGATATGATTAGGGCCGAAAAGTTCGGTACGGGCGCTATTCTAAAAGATTGATTCGCAGCCATACTGTACAATGAAAGCACTTTAGGGTAGCACAGCAGGAACGTTGTTCAACGACCCAGAGGATCAGATGCCTTGGTCCTTCTGGACAAGATGATGGAAAGGTATTACTATTTTTATTCGAATTATCCAAGAATCAATTTTTTGGCCGACAAATAGTAATTTTGAGGTACAGAAATTCACTTAGAAATCTATCTTTTGCGCTTGTAAACAAAATTGGCTACATTTTGAAGAAATCAAATAAGATATAACTAGGATAAAATCAAGATTAATACAAGTCATAGATGCTAAACTAAACAGATCTTGTTAAGTATACCCTACCCCCCCCCCCCCCCCGTTGCATCAGCGATGCCAATTTGTTGAAAGTACAAAATTACGTATATGCCTAAGTGTTCGATTCTTTTTTTTGTAGTAATGCCAATTCGTTACACGGTACCATAGTGGGTAAATAGTTAACAAGATCCAACTGAACACACCTGTTTGACAGCAAAACGTTTGCTGCGCACTGAACTACAAATCAATTTGAACAGACTTTTAATGAAAATAAAAGAGATATGTGTCTACTATTTGGTAGAGCTTGTTCAAACTGAAAAGAAAAACAGGAGGAAGAACTCTTTTTTTTGTATCCACACAAATTTCAATAACAAATTGGACAAAATTGATGAAAACAGACAAATCTTCAATAAAACTGCCAAAAATTGTCAATTGTAGCAACATTTCTTCGGTTTAATTGCAAAAGCTGAAATTCTTCAACTACCGGTTTCCGCCTGTGGTAACCATACCAACTTCATAGAGCTTTCCTGTCGCTTAAACTAATTGGGTAGATGGGAAAGTTAGTTGCTAAGACAAGGATCTCAAGCAGCAGTATCCAGTGAACAGGTCCAGTATAGTCTTCAAAGTTCATTATGGGCTTTGAAATCAGAAGCAACTTGAAAACCAAAAAAGCATTGTTTAATATGTCATAGTATCAGCGCTGTGCCAAAAACAAGACTGCTCGTATCAGGGCAACGCCTTAAATGATCTGACTATCCATATAATGAACTCGAACAGTTTTTACGCGTTAATAGTGCGAAATAACGCGTAATCTCCACTTACGCGTTAATAGTGCGAAATATATCGCGCGTTAATTGTCCCAAATTGGCCAAAATGGCAATCTCTAAACCCGCATAACTTAACAAAAATTGATCAGAGGTGAAATATTCTTCCAAATTTAAGGTGAGGACAACAATCTCATTTGAATGATTTCAACAAAATTCCGTCAAAAAGGCTAATTGAAAAGTCGAAATTTGTCGGAAGAAAAAAAACCCGACCCGATCATAAATATTCTGTTACTTTCAGTACAAAAGTCGGAACAATAAGAAACAAGACTGTTGGAATCAGTGCGATTTAAAACAAAATGATTGAAGTAATTTAAAATAAAATGATTGATGAAAAGCTTCAAATAATATTTGTGATGTTTTTTGAAAATTATCCCCCCACGCGCTATATAAAATACGAAACGATAAATTTCGCATATAGCAAATTCTTAAATAGACCAAAGAGGATGCTTCAATACAATTTGGAACGGTTTCTAATACGGATTGAATCTCCGCTTACGCGTTAATAGCACGAAATATATCGCGCACTAAATGTCCCAAATTGGCCATCTTTACAACCCTATAACTTTACGTTACATAATCACAGGTGAAGCAGCTTTTAACTTTTGAGCTCAGGATAACAGTACCTTTCAAATGATTTTAAAAAATTCTTTAAAATTGCTAGTTAAAAAGTGGCAATTTGTCTGGAAAAAATCCATCCCAAGCACAAAAAAAATCAAGGGATTAGCATAATATTGAAACTTTATTGTTTTTTTTTACCCATAATAAGCATCAATTCTATGGTGAAACATCAACAAAGTTTGGTGTGCAAAATAGCATGTCATGGTCTTATTAGTCGGGATGCCAAATTTTGTTACAATCACATCATTGAATCAGACATGAAAAACTATCTATAAAATTTTGAAACTTGCGGGACAAGGAAAAAAAGCCACTTTATTTTTTTAATTCATAATATCTTGGCCTAATGATCCAAAATCACACTGAAATAATTAGAACAAAATATAGAAAACATCAACTGAGTTTTGCTTATAGCTATCAGAATTAACTTCTAGTTGCTTTTTCTGGAATATATGAAGAGGTATACATGTGAAAACTGTTAAGTCCGGAGTTTGAAAATTTCGCTTTCAACCAAAAACAGACTGAGGGGGACCAAAAAAAATTATAAGGTAATAGCTGCTAATTAATATGCAGAGGTCATTTTTTCCAGAAAAAATGGTTTTCTATTTTTTACATTTGTACAAAATTTCAGTTTGATCTAAAATTCAATTGAAAATACGTTTCATGTGCTTTTGAAAATTCAATTTTGTTTCAAGATGCAAAAATCAAACATAACCGGCTTTAGATGACGGGCATCCAAAATGCCATTTTGTTTTGCGGAATACGAATTAAACCGTCAGAATTAGGGTTTGCCAAATATTCAGCTTTAAATTTTCAGTTTTAAATAGTGCAACGAAAAGTTTTACAAAGTTAAGTATGGGGACAAAACATGTTTGTTATGGTCTAATCAGTCTGCCTACCACTTTTAGTAACACTCGGACAGTAAGAACAAAATATTTCTTCTAAAAAATTGCAGATAGTTAGTGGGAGTAAAAAAGCCAAAAATAGAGCCAAAGCCAAAACTAATTTACTGTTATTTACACTGAGGCGAAGTTGAAATTTGCAAATACCAGCGAAAATGGCAAGAAGTACTCTTAGGCCAAAAACGGCACTGGAAAACAAAAAAACGGAATCTCATTATACGATTATGCTTGCTAGCTCGCTTCCCGGGGCAAGGTTTGCAATTTGTTTCGAACGACTCGACCGGAAAATTTTATGTATCGACCGTCTCGACCCAGGCTCGGTATGTTTCGAACGACTGGACTCAAGTTGTTTATGCTTTGACCAAGTTCAACCGAAAAAATTCGACTAAATTCAATCGAGCAAAAAACGTTTCGACCTAGGAGTTCGACTGTGATGTAATTTTTTATCCACTTTATGTTTCGATCTTATGCTCGACTTTATGTTTCGATTTTGTGTTTGAAATTATGTTTCGACCGACTCGTCTTAATGTTTTGACTTTGAATTCGACCATAGGGCCTTATCGACTATTCGGCCGAACTCTGACATGTGTTCCACCCGCCGCGTTTGAAATAATAATGGGGAACTTCGACCCGCGTTGTGTTATTAAATGAAAATCAGAAAGAGAAAATTCAGATACAAGAGAAAACTTAATTTTGAAAAATCATTCTCTGCCCGAAATTTAGTTATGAAAAGTTGGAATTGGGTTTTAAAAATCAGCAAAACGAAATGAGTGCTAACTACTCGATCAAATAACGTTAAAATTTAGTAAAATAAAACTCAGAGGACTGCCTTTAATCAATTTCCGTCTGTCTAATAAAGTATGAAAATCAAACAAAAACTCAAAACACGTTGTTCTCGAGACTGCGACAATCTTGCGTTTTTTATTGGAATCCAAATCATGGCCAGTATGACTTTATTGTGACCGTTTGCTTCCACATCAAATCCAGCGATAGAGAAATTAACACTTCTGGAAAGAATTGGTATCCATAATTGCGAACTACGTCTACTCTCTACTTATACGATGCTGCCGAACTGATTTGTGTACGATGTAAAATCTAGTAGTATGGATTCTTTTTAAATTATTTTCGGACAAATATATAGAACTAAATTTAACAAATTATCGGAAAATGAACACTGATTTAAAGTTGAAGCTAAACTATGAAAAATGAACATCATATCAAAGCAAATCAACGTTAACAGAGAACCCAAAAAATCAAGAAATAAATGATTACATTACTGACAAATAAGGCAAATTACAAATTTTAGCACTGCAATTGATTCCATTGACTACAAATAGAAATCTTTACAAAGTTTTTTTACGAACTTAGATAGATGCTCTTTTCATAGTAACTTTCGTCACTTACTGGGGGAAATCACTTCTTAGAAATGAAGATCGCTGCAAGAATACAAAGAGTGAAAGTTGTGTAAAAACCATTATAACTTCCTTCTGACCCTTGCGTTCGGTCTGCATTTCTTTCTTCGAAAAATCGGGAATGACTTGCAGTTGATATCGAAAAAGATCTGTAGGGTCGAGACTCAGTTTGGGGAAGAATTTCAGAGAAAGATAGAAGTCGTCCCCCCAAGCCCCCCAAAAACCCCGCTTGTCTTCGACGTCCTCGTGCTTGCATTTGAGCTTGAGCTCGTGCCAAAATTGCTTCTTCTTCTCGTTTCAAGTCTTCGACCGAGGTGACCGATGCCGACTCGTTGCGCGTTCTTCGATTCGCACTCGTTGGATCCGGATGATTAGGAATCACAGCGGAGTGCTTCGGAAGACTCGCGCTTGGAAGACTCTCTTCGCCAAAAGCGGAGTCTACATCTGACTCTCGGCGACCTACTGCTTGATGTTGATTGGATGCCGACGATGACGACGGTTCATCTTCGCTCATTGGTCTCCTTTCTTTTGTTCTTTTTCGAACTATCCCAGCAGACCCTTAAAAAATGGCAACTGTTTGAATAAAATTGAACCTTTTTTAATACAGTAAGTAAGGCTTAATATGCAATCTGAACGTCACGCTGATATGTTCAAAACTTCAATTTATTCCATATGAGTCGAATATCCAAATAAAAAATTCCAGAATGGAATAATTTTCAGAACTTAAAAGTGAAAAAGTACTAACTAGACAACTCTGTTGAACTGTTACTCGTGAGGCTTCTTTGAATGATGTCATTTGCCGATTCAAATCGTGACTCATTATTCTCTTCTCGTGACTCATCGTCATATTCTTCCTTGTCAACCGAACTTGAGAAACTGGAAGATGTCGTCCAGCCAAATTTTCTCTTCGGAAAATTAGTTGGCGTCTCAATCGAACAAGTCGCTTCACTCGAACAACCAACTGGGACTGGAACAGCTTCTGAAGAGTTTCGCAAAGGCCCTGCAGTTAAATCGAGTTCGAAGGTGCTGCTGTACCTGTTGTCGTTTGGCTCCGAAGAGACACTTGATTGGGCGCCGACTGACGAGAGACGACTTCGGGATTGCTCGTCGTCGCCTTCATCGTTATTGCACGAGGTGCTCAAACCAAAGGCTGAGGATGAAGTCTGAAAACAAATACGTTCTTTAAGAAAATTTTTGCCGTCCTAAATTTCTTTTCTATCAGAGTGAAATTTTACTCAATCTTAAAATGGTTTAAAAAAACCGTTCATGTTCCATTCTGAAGATCATTTCGATCGCTTAAATAAAATGATAAAAAATTTAGGTAACTGCTTTGTGTCCGACAAAAACCTGAGCTCCTCACTAGCAATAGAAAAACCGAAGTAAAAGTGGACCAAAGACCCAAAAAAAACAAGCCAACCAAAATTTATGTCACTTGCGCTGCAGCTTCGACTTTTTTACTTACTGCTTATAACTTTCAAATACAAAAGTAGCTGCTGGCTTTTGTGACATATGAGCAATTTTGGCTCTCTCATACAGAGGCTGGTTTTTGTGCGTACCCTTTCTGATAGCATTGCAAAAGGAGAGAGGGTGTTGATGTATTCAATGGCGAATCCCCACAGCCTCGACACAAACTGTCCGGCTGTGCCCAGCTGCTGCGTATAGAAGTAATTCAACAGTCGCACGAACACAACCTGAAAAAAAAACAATTCATTTATTTTGAGCAAAGTTGAAGAGCTTTAAAATGTTTCTTTGCCCTTATGCACTTTCAGACCTGAATTGGTTCTAATCATTTCAATTATGCATTTGAAAACTTCAATATATTTTTTTCTTGGCTCCGACCACTCTCATGGAGATAGAAAAAGCTTTAGAATCGTGCTTTTTTCTTCCCAAACAAATATCTATCATTTCAAAATAACGTCAACTGGGGACGAACATCCCAATTTGAATTATAGTGCTCAAAAAATTCCCTAAATTCAAATCATTATAACTTTGTGCAAAATGATTACAATTAAAATATTTTTACACTGGCGGAAGCAATGTCTTATAATCGGGAACCAGACATTTTTTCCCGTTAACAACTTTTCTTACAAATAATACTTGCTATTCTTACTAGCTTTATCAGTGAAGCTTAACATTTTTCAGGTTCGTTCCCACTTTGTCTAGAAGTAACGACGTCACCTTGGCAATTCTAGGTTAGGGGTTCGAGTCCCGGCCAGACCTTGTGGGAGTATCTACGCAATTGGAATTTTTTTCCGGTATAAGTTGAATAGTCGGGACTTTCATTTTTCTGCTCAATTTTCGCCGGCTTATTTGCCATGGCTTAAATTTTTCTTATGTGGCAAGCAATTTTCCTTGTAGTGAGTTGCAAGTGCAAGTGTTGTTCAATGTAGTTTCAGGGGGATTTGAAACGTTTTAGTTGTTTTTATAGACCTAATTTTTTCCGGCTCAATTTGTATCTGCTCAGAAATTGTCGGCTTTGTTTCCTCTTTCTTCGTGGGCTTTGCTCCGCTAATAATTTAATACTCTATTGTCTAGCTTGTTTGCCTTGAATAAACTTCTATCGAGATGTACGAAAATTTAAATTTAGGTAGATCTATTTTTTTCAAAATTTTTCATTTTTTTTCTTAAGTTTTTTATGTATGAGTTGTATCGCAAACGATGAGAAGCTCCGATTCGCCTCGGTGTTTTTATTTTGAGCTCTAGGCAACAATATCTTTCACGTGGTATAAAAAATTGTCAAAAATGCTTAGTTAAAAAGTCGTAAATTGACTGAATAAAAAAGCACCCTAAACTGTTGGTAGCAGGGCAATGCCCTCAATGTCCCAACTTCCCTTCAATGTCTTTGAAGCAGCTTTTGAAAACATCCATTGAAACAAATGATTGAACTTTCTTTAAAAATGCCAAAAACGCTATGCAAGTCCAAAGTGAAGTTCTGAGCGTCTAGTTATGTGTTAGCAACACCCAAAATCTTGCCTCAATTCCATTTGGAACAATTTATGAGCGGATTAAATAGCAGCTTACTCAATCTTGTCCCAAGTTAGCTAAATTGCCTTTCAAACCCCAATAACTTTTCAAAAAAAAATCACAGGTAAAATATCTTTTTAAATTTGAGTTCAAGGCATCACTGGCTTTCAGATGGTAAATAAAACTTTGTTCAAAAATGCTTAGCTAAAAGTGTGTTTTCAATTTCTTCTAACTTTTCCGTTGAGGTCAATTAGTTGTAAGCCAATCTGTTGCGGAAGTTTAATGCGAAAGTTCATTCGGTTTTTATAATTAGTAAGAGTATGTATAGTTCAACTAAATAAACCTACGAAGAGTAGCTTCAGTAACTCTATTCTAGAATGTAGTCAAGTTAGTTTCCCACCTGGTGAAGACCACCATCAACTGGTTGAAACCAGCTCACGTTAGGTAGCGAATGAGTACGTTTTCGCTAAAAAAGAGCATTATTGTTCCATCTATCCACGAAAATGAAAAACTAATATTTTCTAAACAATTTTTTGAAGGCTTTTGCGGTTTCGAGAAAAATTAGTTTGAATATTTTCGCTGCTGGTTTATTATCAGAAGATATTGAGGTTTTATATACGTTTTCTAGAGTAGACAGTTTTCCTTGGATGTCTATCAATATAAGCTTGACTCAAAGTCAATTATTGCAATCTGAAGCAACCACGTGGTATCGGAGAAAAATTGTTTTACGAATTATATGAATTAGCATAATTTTTTAAGTTTCTTTTTTTTATCCCTCATTTAATGTATAAATTACATATTTAATTGTAAGTTTAACATCTAAATAGTAGCCTCAACGTATAGTTTTGGCAATATCGTCGACAGAATAATTTTGTCGGTCAAAAAGCGGAAATTTTCAGGTTAATTACAATTTGACACAGTTTTTGCTTGCTGCAATGAGTTCGAAATTGATTTGCAAAGCCAAAAAAGCAGCTTTAAGTTATTTTAAGTTCAGACTCGTTGACCGAAAAGGATATTGCCAACAAACTATATTGTACGCACAATAATTCGTTTAAGTTTATTTTGTATTAACGAACCCTTCTGTTTGGCGTCTCGAGGGAAGCACGGATGGAGGGGTTCTCCAGAATCTGGTCCATCATTCTTCGGAATGCCTCGAAGTCCATGGCCACTCCTCTGTTTTCAAAGTTCGAGTCCAGATAACTGGCCAATCGCTGGAACTCTTGCTGGCAATCCTGAATATCAAAAGATGAATTATAATATTAAATTAAATCGTACAATCATATTGATTATTTACTGCAACCATGCTCTGGTTTGAATTGACTAAATTATATAAATATACAAAAAAACGTTTATCAACTCATTATACTATTCAGAAATTTCAAATTTCTCTGATATAAACATCTCTTTGATACGCGAAAGATACAGAGTTTTAATGACGTTTTGGATCACGATAAGCTGAGCGAACCACTCTTAAATTATCTTTTGCGTGAATTTTGTTTAGACAGACTTAAATTAACTTTTGGCTGAGTAAATACTGGTTGTCCGTTAAATCCGTTTCTTTACGGTCGTCTAATTTCTTGTCGTCTAATTTCCTAGGGCCCAAACAATACGTACCCTCTCATACTGGTTGGCGATCTCTTCTAGCTTCTCAACAAGGCGATTTATTCTTTCTCCTCCGTCTGCAGGAGAGGCAGAAATAGCAGAGTCCGGACTACCTCCGTCCCTTTCATCCTGGCCTCTATGTGGCGGATCACCATTCAATGATTCCACCGGTATTGGCATCGCAATTGGCAGAACTTCGTTGGCACTGAAGCAAAAACTTTTGATTTTTCGATTTAAAAATTTAAATGGCATTAACCGATATTAAAATTCTGCAGACATTTCTCTGACAGGAAACATCAACTCACAAGAAAAATATTCATTTTACAAGGACCCTTGAAAGAGCCAGAAAAGAAATCTTCCTTACTTGTTAGAGGATGACTGTTGTTCGGAGTTTTTCTGGTTGTCCGATCGGTGTTTACTTTTTCCACAACTAGAAGTAAGGCACTCCTTTTTAGCTCGAGAGTTGTTCGTAACTTGTCGTGGGATATGAACACCCACCGGAGCCGAGCTCGCTCGTCTTCTCATCGGATCCGGTTTCTCACTAGAGTCGGGCTTTCGATTTTTCTTTTCGAGGCGCCGAGCGTCTTTTTGGGTTTTCTGGGAATTATTGGGCTGTAAACCGTCCTTCGGAATTGGCATTTTGGGTCCAATTTTTTTCAACTTCTTCCGGATTTGTGGGAGGATATGATTTTCACATAAAGGCAAATGCGTATCGGTTTGTCAGGTGATAATTTTACTAAATAAAATAAATTCAAAGTCACAATCAATCGTTAAGAGAGACTTAAGAGTCTTTGTGTCAAGTAACAGAACTAGTAAAACTTTCGCTTTTATAAATTCTGAATCGATACATTTACGCCTTCTTAATTTGATCCAACTTCTGAATAAACTTAAAATGGTAAATATGTTTTCAAAATTTCAATTTTACAGCATAAAAATCAATAGGCAACAAAATGGTCGCACTACAGGACAAAAATGACATAAAAATTTCCTTAAAAGGATATTGTTGGTTGTATTTTTTCAACTCCTCAAGGTCAAAATCGCTATTTCAACTTGACTCTTGACAACTCAGCCATATAAGGAAAAAGATGATAATTAAAATGTCTATATCAAAAACAATGCCTAGATTTTTATTCGTGTTCAAAACCTGAATAAGATTGCAGCAACTTTGATTATTGATTTTTTAAAATGAAAAGGTTGTTTCAAATTTTTTCTTACGGAATTGATTTCTCGAATCGAATTTCATATTCAAGGTTGGCTGCGATTACGTTGAATCATCATCATCATTCGGATAAATTTTGACAAAATCAGTCTTCAGCTTATTTAAAAAAAAACAATTCTTTCTAAACGGAATCTATTTCTTTTATCAGAGAAAACTTCAGTTTATTATTAGTACTGGGTTATCAAAATGCAGGGAGTAACACAAAAAATCTTATTTTAATCAAATGTCCTAGGAGAGGTTTGGTTCGAGCGGAAACCAGGTTTCGTTACGGTCAAGCTAAAGTTCAACCTTTGAACCTGTATGTTTATACCCCGCAATTCTCGCATCAAAGTTTCTAGGATCAAAGTTTGAATTTTTGACTTGGCTTTAAAAAAATAACCTTGAATATCCTAAAAACTATATTGAACTAAGAAAATAACCTTGAATATCCTAAACAGCATATTGGAAAATAATGGTTACTCACACTATGAAAATTTTGGCACTTTTTGAGCTTAAAGATAAAACAGGATCAGTAAATTTTCGCCTGCAAAATTATTTCAAAATAACTAGCCAGCTAGTTTTGATGGCTGAATTCTGTGAAATGGCAATGCTTCAAAGTCTAAGATGTCAACAAATTATGCGGTTATCTTCAGAAAAACAGGGGCACAAAATTTCCTACATAAAAGAGAATTCTAGATTTGGGAGATAAAACAAAGCGAATCGGAGACCTATTTTACTCCACAAAGTGAATTCGGTACTGAATTGAAGCCGTTAACTTAATAGTAAAATATAACTGGGTTGGTATTAATAATATTACTTATTTTAACAGATTTGAGCCGAGTAAACATGAAATAAAACGACAAGAATCCGAGTCACGAGACGAGTAACTACTACTTGCCCTCATACGAAACGACTCAAAAGCGAGCGCAGCAGAAAGAGACATTAGTTTAGTTAGGTTAAAATAGGAAGTGAACATCGCCCGATTGAGAACGCCAATCGCTCTGAGACAACCTGAGGATCGGAATTCTTAATAGGACAATACTATCTTCTGTTTGACGCCTAGTTCTGGATTTTGAAAAAATCGAAGATTCGTGAGATCTTTTGTTATACACCCTTTTTATTCAGTTGAATTTTTTCATCTGCGAATCGCTCATGAATAAATGGCAAGTTACTGTTCCGACTTTCGTAACGAAAGTAACGGAATATTTGAGCTCGGGGTAGGTTTTTTGTAATTGTGATTGTTTTTTGTAAAATTATGGGTATAAAGATAGACATTTTGACCAATTTGGGACTATTAACGCGCGATATAGTTCGCGCTATTAACGCTTAAGCGGAGAATTAATGCGTCTTAGAAATCGTTCCAAATTGGCCATAATTGATTTCTTACTGGGAGCAAAATCTATCATTTTGTACTTTATATGGCGTGTGGGCGGATGATTTTCACAAAAAAATCTCAAATAAAAAAAAATACTTCGTTTTATTTTATTACATTTAATTATTTCATGTTTTTACTGCTCCATAGACCTCTCGAAGGGCAGTGGGAAAATTCAGGGCTTCGCCCTGATACGAGCAGTCTTATTTTTCTTGGGTAATTTTGTTTGGAGATGTTCAACCTATGCTTTTATTTTTATCCAATTAAACTTTAATGATTGTTCGAACCACTTATTTGAAGCCTTTGCCGAACCTAAGATAAAACACTGCTTGTATCACGGCAAAACCCTGAATAATCTGACTGTCTATAAGCTGGTCTCGAATAGTTTTTGCTTAATGAAATATTGACAAACTATGAGATTTCTGCTATTCTGACTATTGTACCGCTAAAGGAAGTCATTCACTCTCTGCTAAGAAAGTAATTTTCAACACAAATTCATTATTGCTGTAAGATAATTTGGTTAACGTTAGCAAGTTCGTGAAGATTAAACTGAATCAATAACAAAAATGGCCGGTTGCTGAGAAAGTACCACATAACTTTCCGGCCATATTCATGAAAAAACTGACAAAAGGTTTTTGTTTAAGTTTCTTCAAATTAGTGTCACGATTATGTAGAAAATTAGAGAATTAAGCATGATAGACAAACACTCACTGCCTTCAAAAAAACAAATAAAAAGCAAAAAGAAATGAAAAAAAAACTTTCAATTTTTTTGCACAATGATTTAAAGCTTTTATAAAAAAAAACTTTTGTGCAAAACAAACGCTAATTGAAGCATCTAAAACTATTTTTTTTACATATAAATCAAGTTTTTTTAAGAAACAGTAAATTTCCATATAACCAGCGTTACTCGATTGCGTTACTAGCTCAAAATTAGAACCGATTTTTCTCGACATTAAAACTTTTTGAAAAACTTTGTAATGGCGTTCGAATCACGATTGACAAGGCTTTTATATTATTTATCACTCAAGTCACTCCGATTATTAATTGTTGTAGCTGATTTTGCGTGGGACACACAAAAAAACTAAAACACACCCGAATACAAAGTCTTAAGAAACCTAAAACACGCCCGAATACAATTTAAAAAAAATTTAAAAACGAGCAAATACAAAGAAATCGGAAAAATAAAAAAATCGAAATTCGAAGATAGTAATAAGCCCCTAGAGAGGTTCATAGATACAAGGTGAGCAACCTCAAGTAGATCAGGTAGCGCGAAGCTAAAAACCGCAAAAAAAACTTTAATGAAATTTAAAGTGAGGTAAATTTTTTAAATTTGAACAAGTTCTAAGTAAACGAAGTTTTTTTTTATTATAAGTCCTTTTATGGCGGATTTTCAACAAACCGCCGTATCTTTAAGCCAAAATCACATCGAAATAACATCGGAGTAAACTTCATAAGAATTACGTAAGTCAATTGTTGTTAGGCTAAAAAATGCTATACATTATCCTAAGCTATCAGGCTAATTTTCTGGAAAAAAAATATTCAAGAAAGTAAATTCATTCATTCATAAATTTTTATACTGCTATATCCTGGATAACGGGGAGCTTTTAAAAAATAATCTCTATTATTTCAGTAAGATCCTTGATTATTTTTCGTCATTTTTTCTAGCAATGCTACTTTTTCACGTTTTCGGGCAAAAAAAACACTCAAAAGCGAAATCTAAGTAGTCACATAATTTAAATTCAAGCATTGAAAATTTATTTCTCACCGAATATCAAACACTTTCCAAATGAATTTCCGTTCTGAGACACCTGTGAACGGACCTGTAGGTCCAATGGTGCTCTCCTAGGAAGTAACATTGTTGGAGTGGTTTGTAAATTTTTCAACTACCCACAATGGAAATGCCCGAAAACAATTTATTATATTATACTAGTTTTTGCTAGGGAAAATATTTATCATATGTTAAATATCTATAGGCCTTGAAATGATAATAAATGCAAAATAAACATTTTTTTTGGTCTACCAAATTGAACTTACGAGTTCTCCCAAAACACCAAAAAAGACAACGTTTCGGCCATTTTTCCACGAAAAAAGGTAAAAAGAGGTTTTCAGACAGTTTTCGCCAAAAAACTCGCGTTTTTTGGCGCGCGCTAACCCGCAAAAAAGTATATTTTACCCTCAAAACTAAAGTATAAATAAAAACAAGTATATCTGAGTATATGAGTAAAAAGAATATCTTGTTTTTAAAAAAAAACTTTTTGCGAAAAATGGAGTTTTTAAGATAGTACTAAAAAAGGACCTTTTGGGTAGCCAGGGGGTCGAATTCTTGAAGAAGGGTGTCCACTCACCGTTTTCCCCTTAAATCCACTACTGATGCTGGGTAAGAGGGTACATTACGAGGTCAAACTGTGTTTTTGTAAAATGTTTCGCAATAAGGACACTCCCTGTGTTCTTCTTTTGTTCTTTCACTGTCTTTGATCGTTCCGACAAAATTTTAACATGTTTAAAGACTGTCTCTGGAAACCAGGAACATACAGACACAAAATTGTGCGCCTATCCAGTGCACAGTTTGGCCTCGTAGTGTATTTGATTTTAAAAAAATCGACTATTTTCATTTACAAAATGTTGAATGTAAAAAATGTTAGACACCCGGGAAACAATCTTGTTAGTATTACCAGGTTAACGTTTCTGCAACAAAAAAGCTGTTGGTATTGGGGTTTTAAAAAACGCTAGTCATTCAATTCTCATTTGGAAAATTGGCGACCGCTCGACTAGCTTAAAGCTCGACAATTATAAAAGTTTGAAAGCATGAAAATGTATCGACTAGCATAATTTTAATAGCTTCATTTTTGAAAATACGTAAGAGCAAATTGATCCGAGAAAACTTAGAAATTGAGAAACTATGCAATCAGCAATCAAATGAAATTCATTAACACATATAAAATGAGATCAGACTCCCTGACCTTTAATGGCTCAAATCGAACACTGATTGCCGCTCAAATTGTGAAATGTTAGTCAAAATTATGATTGGTATCAAATTTCTGCGTATAATGATTTTATTTTCAGTATTTGAATTTTGCGTTCAATTTTAATGCTAGACGATGATACGATTTACGACTAAAAATGGATTTGAAAATGGATTTAAAAATGGATTTAAAACTCATTTTGA